ACAAATATTTAATTCTGCTTTGAGAGAACTTAGGTACCACATCATAACCGGAGTATCATCCAGCAAGGGTTCTCCTGATGCAAGGTGCTATTGGACGCTTTCTAGGCTATTTGATTCTCCTAGAGACTCAGAGAAAGAGACTAGGAGACTGTCATCAATGAATATTCACTAAGTGTCTATGCCATGCAAGGTGCAATGCCTTATATTCATATGTCACTTTTTAACGTTTACAAAGGGTTCCAAGATTTGGAATTCTTATCTGATCCTCAAAATCCGCAAGGTGAGGCAGAAATCATGAAGGTCCCTTTCAGGATGAGGAAACATACTCGGGAAAGAGAGGTTGTTTGCCCGGAGTCAGCCAGCTGATGAATAGCAGAGCTTGGCCTCAAAGCCAGACCTCCGATCATGATCCTTTGGAAGCTTATCCACACGGTCCAGTCTCAGAATATTGTTAACCATCAAGGAAAATGTCCAGGAACCAAACTCTGCTTTGAGAATGACTCAAGTTCTTCACAAGTGTTACTAGAAGCTCGTAGAGCCGCTCATAAGCTTGGCAACCCTTCCTTACGGCCGCTCCCCTCACGCCTCCCAGCAGCTCCTGCCACTCTTCTCCAACCCCCGGGCTCAGCCCAGCCCTGGTATCTCCTGTCCTTAAACACTACCTTTTCTTCCAAATTCTGCATTACAACAGCTCAAGTAACCAAGGTAGCAAAACTCCACCTACTCACTATCCTCCCAGCACTCTGTCATCTGAAAATAAGATGACCCATCTTTACCCAAGATCTGGTGTAAAATACCAGAGAGGATGTGGCCAAGTCACCTTTCCAGGGCCTGTTATCATCATCCTTCAGACAATAAGTATTGTCTTCTGTTTCATCCATAAACACATCATGAAAACACATGATCAGTGTCTGGTTGACATTATACTGAGCATTTCTGTTGATCAGTCTTTCAGAGAAGAAGGTCAGGAGGATCTGACATGCCCTGTTCTCTCCCTCTTTGAGGCGCTCACAGAGCGGTGTCCTATGAGCCTGCTCTATGATCTCTCCTTAAACAAATGTCAAGCTCATCCAGCCGTAGCTTGTGAAATCTACTTTTTCCATTTTTGAAAAATGAAAACTATGCTTTCCATCTTTAATTTTCCAGCTGATCTTCTCCTTTCTAGATTCCTCAGTAATTGGTCATGATTCAGTGTTTTCATTTTTGGTGTTTCTCAATTTCTAGGAGAAATTGCCCAAGCCAGAGGGCTTTAACTCATTTTGGTGA